TTTCCCCCACTGTAAATGCAAATCTGGTGTCTCTTGCATGTGTATTGACTATGGGTATGCTGGTCTGACAGAACAGCGGCATGGTGTAGCTGGAGCTAACAATGCTAGCCAGTCCACTGCAGTAGTTTTTCCAGACTGACGCTTCTCATTCAGTCTGTTCAGTTAGCATCAGCAGTCAGTTAAAACTATTAAAAACGTCAGCAGTGGAATCAGAAAGCTTATTGAACAACATTGGGTAGAGGTATGAAGAAGCGATCCTCAGGCTTCATGTTTCGCCTTATAAATCTGGGGGTTTGCAGAGATCTGTCTGGATTCTACAGACGTTTTTAAGACTCTGAGTTTAAGCAGGAGGTAAATGATTTTCCCCGACAAACGACCTCATGAGCACAACAGCCTCTGTTTAGTGACTGATTCTTCTCCTTAGGATAAAAATCTATAGTGACGGTAAATGGAGAGGAGGACACGCCTGTCCCATCATTTTACTAATATATAAAAAAAAAAAAAACTGGGATCCTGGGTTTATTCCAAAAAAGTAAAAAAATCCACTGGACTTTTTTCTAAGTTTGAAGACTTTTCACTTCCCATCCAGGAAGCTTTTTCAGTTCAAAATGTCAGAAATAGCGCTGAGTCAGAGGGTTGTGGGAAGGAATCACATCAATTGCTGGATTGTAGGTTTTTGAAAGCAGAAATCTGAGTCCACCTCCTCTGTTTAAGGTTGTTCTTTCTTCTCTAAGAAAAAAATATTCTTAAACAGAGGAGATATTCCTGACATTTTGAATTGATAAAGCTTCCTGGATGGGAAGCGAAACGATCCTAGGTTTAGAGTTTAATGCTTTCTTTGCCTTTTAAGGAAAGTTCTTAATCTAAGACTGTTAAAATATTTATTATGTCCTCCTTGTCAAACATCACTCCTGTTTTCCCTCTAGAAACAAAGATAATTGTTCTGCAGACAACATTTGAATGCTAATAGATAACAAATCTCTGTTCTGGTAATGGTAATAATTGTAATGATAATTGTATCTCTAGTGACATTTGCTGAGGACCACTAATGGCAGACTGCTGTTTTAGCTGCAGACAAAATACAATGTTCCATCTGGATTCAAATCTTTTCTCTGTAAATGTGCCATCTGTCGCTATTAGAAGCACTGAATATATTACTATTCTGCATCGTCTGTTTAGTTAAGCAGAGTGAAAAGCTATCAGCCCAGGATGATTTAGTTTAAAATGCCACAGTTGGTCTTTTTATCAATAAGCATGGACTGTTTTTAGAAATGTATAAGTCCTGCTATTTCAGGGTTCATATGGAGTGGTTTAATTATTATTATTATTATTATTAAACCTTTATTTTTACAAGCAAGTCATTGCCTTTGTAAACAAAAACATGGCGGCCGTACAAGTCCAGTAACCACTCAGGAATGGGGACGCAATGAATAAAAAACATTAGCTTACTGTTTTCATCACAATATTTTTTTTTTATCACTGCTGCTTACCTTATCAAGGCTGCACTTTGAAAATTTTAATAGTCTAGAGATCTGTCCAAAATGAAATGTCTTTATTTACACTTGTGTTTAACAAAATAACAAAATAAAATCTAAGTGCAAGCAGCTGCAAGTGTCTGTGAACAAGGATGATATAAGTGTTTTGAAGGATGAATCTGAAATGTGTCTATCTACTTTAAGAATATTTAGCAGAGAGTTTGAGTCACGAGCGGCAGCTTGAAAAGAAGCCAGACCAAAAGTATCGTTTGCAGGCTTTGGCTGCAGTAGGTGACCTAAATAAGGTGGTGAGCTCAGGGAACACCATAGCCGGGTTGACCGGCTAAATTACCTGATACTATTGAATGCAACGTACGGATGTCAACACACCATGCCACATCTGGACTTCCACGTCACGATCGGTACTTAGCAAATGTTGAATAGATGCTGCAATTATTTTTATGGTTCTTCAAGATAATAGATATTTGCAGTCCTTATTTCCAAAATATGGATAAATGGATGTTGCTTATGGATAGCAGTGCACTTATTTTACCCTTTGGACATTTACAACTGGTATATTTGCCCTTCGGTGCAACACACCTGCTTGTGTAACACATCAGCTTACATTTACTTACATTTGCTTGCTCCCGCCCTGAATGTAAGCCCCCCTGGCTTGCATTCAGTGTAAACCTGCTGTGGCTCTGAGTGCAGCACTGAGAAGGACTCCTGCGGAAGCAGGAGAACAGGTTTGGGACCGGGGAGGCGCCCCACGGCAGGTCCTGCCGCTGGACGACAAGAGTGGGAACTATCATGATTTCACCGCAGAGTCTCCAAAAGCCGCCAATGACACCAGAAAAGTCGCTAGATTTGTCGCTAGTCGCTTTTTTGGCTCTGACTGGAACATCTTCAAGACTGCAGCAATCTATGGCAACATATTAAATTTTAGCGCTGCTGCACTTTAGAAAATGAGGACTTTAGGAAATGTCTTGAGAGCTGTACTGAACGAAATTTTGTTTTGTATACACACTGTGTGTACAAAATGATAATAAAGTTGTCTAAGTCTAAGTAAGTCAAAGTCTAATAAAGAATCTAAATCTTGCTCTTCCTGTTTTTCAGATCGAGGCTTGCAGTAAGGAGGCCGAGAAGATTGATTCTCTCATTAACTATGCCAGTCCCACTTTGGTCTCACACGTCCCCCTGTCAGCCTTCCTCAGCTCAGAGATCAACGCCTCCTCCATCCACTCTGGGGGCTCTCTGCCTTCACCTGTCCACCTAAGCCTCTGGTTCATCCTTGCTCTCATCATTACAGCTGCTCCAAGGATCCAGTAGCTTTAAGTGCCTTGCACCCCCCAACCCCCACCACTACCCAGTTTGTTCCCAAAGTGCACTAATGCTTTGCATGTCCAAGATGCCATGGTGTTGGACATGGCAGTAATTATGACAATCATTCCCTTTTTTTTGCGTTCCAAACAATCAAGCTGGTTGAGAAGTTACTGATATTGTTAATTATTTGTTTAAAAAGTATTGTTATTCAGTGATAAGTTTCTCACTAGCTCCCCCAGTGGAGAGTATGTGGGGGGATGGGGGGGATCTAATCTTAATGAAGTATTTAGCTTTATATCAACAGTGTTAAAATCAGGATTATATTTCCTGACAAGTGTTAACGTTGATGCAGCAAATCAACATTTTTATGTGATTAAACATCAGTATTGACCTCGTGTACAGCGCATGAGCTCCATGTGTTGTAGTTGTTGAACCTAAGCAGTGTTATAGACGTGGCTGGTCCAATAAACAGGTCCAGCCTTAACAATCAAATCCAAAAAGTGAACTATAGAGTACAGAGGGTGCCACAAATATCACACTAAAGTAAATCCATCCCTTTCATTTTCTGAACATTTAATTTTCTTTAGCTAAACAGTTCTCCTCCTTTGCTTTGGCTCGTGATTACATTCCACCACAAGCTTCAACATCAGAAGCTGAACACAAAGAGGAGTCTTTGTCATCACTGGAGATAGGAACACAGTGGACCGGTGCTCCTCAGCTTCAGGAGACATGTAGAGTGTTGGGAAGCTATGATCACTGTCTGCTTCATCTCATACCAATTTACAAGGAGAAACAGAACACCTCTATAGCCGGGTATGTACTGTGCCATGTTTTCAATCTATGCACGAAGCTACAACTTAAACTATACGACCAAACAGCAGACCGCAAAATGGCAAACAGTTTAAAAGTTCACAG